CCAACAAAGTTAAAGGATATTTCAAAGCATTTGCCCAAATTTAGCCTAGTTTCAAAACGGTGACGTAATCATATGATATCAATTGGGGAAGAAAAAAACGCATATCACCATTTAGGTATTTAATACATATGTTTACAATTTACGCCGCTGAAGCTATTTTAGGGACCAGCCTTAGCCATTGTGTTTCAGCAAGCAGACCTAATTTTACAATAAAATTAAAAACAATATAATTGAGCGCTATATTCATAATTTTTCATGAAACGAAAGAATATTTTTATTAGTCTTTATTTAGGAACAAATATCATCAATAAATATACAATTCTTTAAATTGCGGAAATGCGAGAAGGTCATATTTTATTTGGTTATCGTTCCAAACATCACTATTAGAAACAAAGATATAATATAGATTATATGAAAATAATATATATGGACCTGATTCCAGGTCGTTACGCCAAACGAATCTAAAAACTACACATTGTAATAAAAAATCCATGTTGTCATTTGTGCATTTCACCCCGTAAAGTAAAAAGTAAATTATATAAAACTAATTTTTACATGTCAAAAAAATATAGCGCTCTTCACAATGTAACAATTTTCATTACCAAAATATAATTAACCGTAGAAACAATGTAAAAATAATTCAAATTTCATATCAAACTTTTGTGCTTTATACCGATAAGTCAAAAATGACTATATAATAAATACATTTATTAAAAAAACAAAAAAAAAATAGCCCCTAAACACTTTCGTTCACAAAATTCTGAGGCTTAATTGTGCTGTACACACGCAGTGGCAATCCAATTTCCATTCCTTTAGTTGCTCATTAGATGAAATTAAAAAAAAAATCAATACAGAAAACCCTCTAAAATGCACCACTATTCGCTATTCATGAATCTGTAAGATTAGCTTTAAAGTTTTTAGTTTGTTCTATATTTTTTTTTTATATAACATTAGGTTCTGCACTTCTTGCACTCAGCATGTTTCTTTTTTTAGTTTTTCTCTTACTAGGGTTGCCAGGAAGAGATCGCTTATTAGCGATAAGGCCGCCCGTTGCATGCCTTATAATTTTTATGTATTGTGTTATTTGAGTTTCTTTTATTTTTATTGCAAGGAAGTGTTAATAAATAAATAAAATGCAGTACTGAAAGGATTGCGAGTCAAGGAATTTCGATTTTAAATATTTAAATTATCTCTAATAGTGATAATTATATACAACCAAAGCCTCGAATTTATATAATTATAAAACATACTATGACAACGCTTATTAGGACTCATGTTCCATAGAGAAACTTATTATCTTGACCACTATCATCACTTGAGAATATATTCGTCAAATCTGAACACTAATTATTAGAACTCGATTTTAAACCATATTTGATACAATTTGTAAACGTTTTTATTCAACGTATATTTGTTCAAAGAATGTGTTAATAAAATTGCAAACTATAATTATTGGCTACAATTTGTATACAATGTTATTCACATTTATAGTGTCTAAATTGGAAAATAAACAAAAATTAATATTAGGACCTCCGTGACGTTATACCGAACATAATGGGTTAAATACAGAATAATATCCTAAATATATTACAAATTTAGCAAACTATTGATAGACTGTCCAATATTTCACAATTGAATACAAAATATTTATAACTTCAACTTCATTGAGCAAATAAAAAAATGGAAATGATAACTCCCCTATTAATCTAACTACGCTAACTAAAAAATATAATTTCATACACATATTAGAAACACACACTGCATATAGTAAATATCTGTTTAGCTGCCTGATAAGAAAGCAGAAGCAATATACCAATAGTTTCGACGGAATCGATGTGGACTTAGAATATGAAAATAGTTATCGCGTGAATAAATTAAGCCGCAATTCATCTTCAAAAATATTAATTTTTGTTAAAATTCACTAGTAAAAACTCCTTAAGGAAAACTTTTTACAGAATATATTTTTTAATTTTGGAACGTGCAAACCGACTATATTATCTATGATTTTGACCATAAACAAATCATAGAGAAATTAAAAGTTTATTAAGCTCATTTTTTTATTTTAATTACATAATTGCGCGAGTCTCATTGACCGCGATTGCTGTATAACATTTGAACGGCCGAATAGCGTAAATATTGTTAGTATAAATTTATTTCCGGTAAAGAATTTTATTTAAGTGAAGTGCACGAGTAAAACGTTGTAGTTATCTAAATCTTCTATAGATGGCGCTATACTAAGATTTTTAAAAATAAAATTTACGTTTATATTTTGTCAATTAATATTTTTGAAGACATTATATTTGGTGTGCTCTAACTTTGTACATAGTGTAACTAGCATTATCACAACTATAGATACTTTTATAAGGTGATTTTGATATCTTGATTATTTCAGAAGCGGTTTGTATTCGTCCAAATATAAAATTATTACAATCGAGTCCTTTTTAAGCGTACAATACACTTAGTAAACCCGTGGCTTCCTGCTATATACATTTTGATAGATTAACAAATCTACATTACGTGCGCAATAAATAAAATATCGTAAACCAGAACCGACACTAATGGGATATCGTAAACGTTCAATTAAAATTTAATTAAGTCGGTAAACATCGATTTATAGTGCTTTTCATGAAAGAAGTCCCGCGGATATTTTTGGAACTAAATTTGACAGGTCGGCAATGTTGTCATTCGTCGATGTTATCAAGTTCGTTTGTTGTGGTAGATTTTTGTGAATTTTTAACTATCTTAGTGCATTTTAAATATTGATTACAATGCCAAAAGTTGTAAAAAGTTCGGCTCGAGAATTGATATTAAAGGTGAAAGAGTTCTGTGAAGCGGAACAAAAGAATAAAGGTGTTTTAATACCACTAAACAATGTTCGGAAGAGAGTTGCCGCCATAACAGGTACTTTTTAGAGTTGCCATTTAATAATTTTTTGCTGTATTGATGGGAGTTTTATGATAATATAAATTCGTTTTTACGACAAAATTGAACAAATACATAACGTGATGAAACTAGGTAACTGAAATTAAAACATATATTACATAAGCATTATAAACTTAAAGTTACTATTATTTTTAATTGTTCATAATTTAATTGCAGGTGTGTCAGAGAAAACTGTATCAAGAATTACAAACGAAGGTGTAACAGCGGCGTGTACTTCAAAAAAAAATTGTAACCCCGGGGAAGAGTCGCCCGCATCCGAAAAAGTTCGACTTAGACGGGTTCGATTTGTGCGCTATCCGGCAAAAAATTTACAGTTTTTACGTCGTACATAAAGAATTACCAACATTGGTTAAATTACGGGCAGCTCTGCGAGAGGACATCAATTATCAGGAAGCATCACAACATTGCACAGGATATTAAATAGAATTGGTTTCAAGTACAAGCGATGTCAATCCAGACGAAAACTACTTATGGAACGCCACGACATTACCGCATGGCGTGCAAGATATTTGAATAAAATACGAATAAATCGCACTGTGGAAAAACGACCAGTTGTATACTTAGATGAGACCTATATACACAATACTTATCATACAAAACGTTGTTGGCAGAGTGAGGAGGAGCCAGGAATGTTCGTCTCAGAATCATCAGGGAGTCGCTGGATAATCGCTCATGCGGGAACAAAAGATGGATTCATAAATGGTGCATTATTAATGTTCAAATCCCAATCAAAGTCCTCAGATTACCACGATGACATGAACTCAGCAAATTTCTTAAAATGGGTGACGGAAAAACTAATACCTAATCTACCTGAAAGGTCGCTTGTGGTAATGGATAACGCTCCTTACCATTGCACTCAATTAAACAAAGCCCCTTCTATGTCAAATATAAAAAGTAGTATGCAAGAGTGGCTCCGGCAAAAGGGTATATATTTTGAAGACACCTGGACAAAAGTTGTGCTGTATGAGCTAATCAAACAAAATAAAGGTCCACCGATATTTGCAGTGGATGAATTATTAACAGCTCACGGACACGAAGTATTAAGGTTGCCGCCTTACCATTGTGACCTCAACCCGATTGAGAATATCTGGAGCCTTGTAAAAAGAAAGGTGGCGGATAAGAACGTGGCACAAGATCCAAAAGAAATATTAAAATTAACTAAAGAGGCCTTTGAGTCTATTACGGCTGAAGATTGGACAGCTCAGTGCTCGCATGTCGAACATTTAGAGGAGGAATATTTAAAAAATGACGGCCTTATGGATGAAGTGATGGACCGAATAATTATATCAACTGCTAGTGATACTGAAACAGAATCTGATTCTGTTTCAATACACTCTTCGGACAGTGATGTCCCTATGGCCGTTGATCACAATTATGCAATAAAACTCTGAATAAACAATTGTATTGCTTTTCTTTACCCTATTTTCTTATCTTTTCCCTGTAAGTAGGTAGAACACCGCAATATAAGTAAATAAAAATATACTTTTTACATAACAGATATATTGTTTCATCGAAGTACGCAGAAAATAGTATTATTTGATAAATTACATCTGCTAAATGTAAATAAAATAGGTAAATTTTTTACTCATAAATGGCAACATTACGTCATGCGATTGCAGCGCCGCGTCTGGGGGACTTCTTTCGTGAAAAGGACTATACATGAATTCATTTTATCTAATTAAAGACAACAATACCACAGATAAAGCATTAATCACAAAGCTATTAATTACTTATTAGTAACAGACTAGCACAAGCGTCAATAAAAAATCTATGACCAAGACATACCCTACTTTTTTAAAAAATATTTGAAATTCCGTCTATCTGTATATAGCATTATAATTTAACTAAGCACACAAAGTACCTAATACCTAGTCAGAACTTTACGCACCAGTCAGCGTTATATGGCTATCGCATTCATATTAAATTGGCATATTAAAACCATTTTTTATGGAATTCAAGGGGCACAGCGAGCAAATCCTACAACACACAACTATAAAAGCGGTAAAAAGCGTGCGTAAATGAACACGATTCCGCGTAATGGAATGTTATCTATGGAATTATACATCAGTCTCAGTTTTGCTACTTGTGCGTCGGCTTCTACCGGGTTCGTTCGGGTTCCAATAGGGTCCGCTTAGCAGAAATTTCTTCACGTTGTATTCCATACGCGCCAAGTCCTCCGGCGATATATCCTTGTCGGCTCCCTTGAGCGCCTCCCTTAACTCTTTGTTCGCCTCCCGCAGCTCTTTGTTCGCATCGAAGTCGCTGCTCGAAGGACTTTTAGCGTTATTGATCTCCGTGACCGTGGCTTCTCCGCTCTCGACCGGGAATATTGTCTCTTTGCCGACATTGTTCACTAGCTTTGCGTTTGCCGTATGTTTCGCTGCCTTGTCTTGGCTCGCGTGCGTCGCTATGTTGTGGATCCAACTGTTGCGGGCGTCTCTGTACGACTTGGAGTATTTGCTGACCGGGTGTGGCATGTTGAGAGCCAGCTCGTTCAGGGTTTCGGTCAGTCTGTGGATTTTGTTGTTGCTCCTCAACGCCCGACTCGCAAAGCACTCGTCTTCCAATGGATCGTTCAGGTTCTGTTGCTCCAAGTTCTTTTCGACCCATTCCGCGACACGCAACAACTGTTGTTTTTGCAGTATCGCAGCGCTATCGTCGCTAGACATTGAACTAGTGCTCTGTTCGTTTGTAAAAATTTTCGTAGTTTCGTTAACTTTGAGATGTGTTTGGGTCAAATTCGGATAGACGTTGACGATGTTCGGCGCCACCTTTACCGCTTCGGCCTTTTTCTGTACGGTGGGTAACAGCCCTTGAGGCGGCAGGTCCTTTGAGATCTTGGTGTTTTCAAGAGAATGCAGTTGCGACATATCGATTTTCTTCATTGGCTTGTTGTATTGAGCGGTCACTTTGTTCTGTTCGTAGCGGTCAAAGTTAAATATTTTTACGTCGTGATTATCAGTTGGTGTTACATCTTTCTTATTACTATCCTCGACTTCAATTATCACTTCTTTTTGGGAATTGGCGTTTTCTACACTGAAATCACTTAACAGGTTATCGACTTCACAAGAATTTTGTTGGCTGGCAATACTTTGTTCATTGTTGACATGTTCAATATTTGGAGTAAAGTTATGCGTTTTCAACGGCTGCAATGGCGATGAGGATACGACATTTAATAAGATCGGATTGATTGAATTACTCTTGTTACTAGAATTGGAGTCTTTCATATTATTATCGACATGAACATCTATAAGTGTCGTCTCAATTACGACACTTTCATTTTTATTTATTTTCATGTCATCATCGGTTCTATCTAGGTCTATAAAATTATCCATCCCATCATGAAGATCTTTGAATATTGAATTTTCGTTTTTGCTCTGCCTCCTATATAACACGGGGGGAACGTCTGGTTCGGCATTGTCTAATAAAATGTTTTTTGATCCGGCCTGCATCCTTAAGTGGCAAAATCTAGGCCCTGGCCCCACTTGGTTAGCAGATTTATGAGTGCTGACTGTCGATTTAGCTATCGAAGATGTTCGACTTCCGTTTCCCATTGAACTTTGAGAGTTCTTCCTGAAATTTCCAGTTTCTATGAATGGGCTGGAATGTTTTGTTTTAATTTCTTTAGCATTTGGAATGTCTTTGAGTAATAGATCCTCAGTGGCACTTTGAATACTGTCCTTATTGCTTGAAATAGAGGTCTTTGTGCGGTCACACAATTTATGATGAACTGTTGGTTCAACATTAACTGTGTCTTTTCTCATATCTTCCATTTTGGGAATACACTCTCGGTTTATAACTTCTATCTTTGGTTTTTCCTCAACCATTACTTCAGGAACAATTGTTTTAATAACTTCAATAGATGGCACATTAATTTCATTCTGTTCTATGATTTGTGGCACAATAAACATTGGTGTGGGGCTGTGGTTGTTTAGTTTTTCATTGATAACTCTAACACCATGAGGAGAAATGCTTCTGACACTTAGGCCAGATTGAAGAGATTTGATTTCCGCATTACAATTGAGACATAGAGAATTTTTCATTTCACCACTCAGATGTGTTTGTGTGGCAATACTATAAAAGCTTTCATTGTAGCAAAATGGTTTGCTCTGAGACTTTGAGCAAGTGCATGTGTCACAGTGCTTTGTGACAGTATCTTGAATACTATCCTCAAGAATTTTAGTCATAAGTGAAGCGGATATATTGAATTCATATTCACTAGCATCAAATGTATCTATTTCATTCCCAGTCTTAGAGGCTGCAGAACTGGCAGTCTTTGGTGTTTTAGACATAACATATTGAGAAACTCGAGCTTGTGTATCTACAGGAAGCTGGAAAATTCATTTATGATATAAATTGTTTGCAATAAATTAATTTAGTGTGTGTATTGTATTACTTACATTATCCAGTTTTTGGGAAACAAAATTGTCTGGCTTGCACTGAAGCAATTGTATTGCCAAGTTCATATCATTTTTGTATCTTTCCTGGAAAAATATACAAAGAAATAGCCCATTATTTTTTCCAAGATTAAGAGACAAAATCTGACTAAGTGCTAAATCTGACTTCCATAAGTCATAAATGTATTGGATTCTCTATGTATGAACTTTCTTTTTTTAATCTGATCCATAAATCTCACATAATAATGTTTATATTAATTCTATACAAAGAAAAAGAAATTTAACTACAAAATTTTGGGCTAAACTAAAAAATAATGGGTTAAACAAGTACTTAGTTTGTAAACATGTAAACATACATTTTCCTTCTGAAGCATGCTATAATTATGCTTTGATTCTGCCAGTCTGACAGACAGAGTGGCAATGTCCTTTGTTAACTGACTTTTCTCACTCTTCATCTTATCTACCAATTGTAGCAACTTGTCTTCTAATACTTGATTTAGTTTTTGAACTCTCTTGTGGGAATCATACAATCTGAAATGTACAAATATTTATTTTTCTATATTTTGATACATAAGTATTAAATAACTAGTAACTAACTAACTAATTCAATCATTAACAATATAGCTATAACTTGTATATTTCATCCAGAAATTCAGCAACATAACATTCAATTAATATAATATCTGTTAAGCGACCACTGCACCACATTTGTAATATATTAAATAATAAATAACTTTAGTAACTGAAATTCAACCCAGGCAGATTGTTCTAGTCTACATATAAAATCAAATTGAAAGAAAAATTAAGCACCATGCTACAGCATATATATAATATACTGTACTAGTTTCTTTCTTTTGTGATTTTTATGCTTGATCACATTTATCAAAAGCATATGTAAATGAACTGACTGAAAAGCAGCATTAAATATATTTATTTGTTAAAATCTGACAAACCTCTCATATTTTTCCCTCCAAGTATTAACCTGGTCTTCTAGGTCAGTTGCCCTTGCATTACACTTAAAGTACTCAGTCTCGAGAGCTACAAAATGAGCATCCTTTTCAGCCAAGTGTTGCCTCAAATGCTCGACGTCTTTATGCAACTCCTCAACACCTTGGCAATCCTAGTAATTTGTGTGCGATATCAAAACAAAATCAAACAAGCAAGTGATGTGGTGAATGATTAATTTTTCTATTATGGGTTTTGCAAAAGAAAAAAGAAAAGCATTGTGCATTGTTACAAATGATATTAGTCAAGATTTAAATGTTGTGAGTAAGATAAAAGTGATAGTAGTATAATATATGTTCCGATCTAAGAGGTACAAATCTAGGAAGTTAAATAAATTGTTAAATTTACTGATGGATTATGGTAACATGCTAGAATGATATATTTCATTGAATAAATATGAGAATTTAACTATTACCATTGAAATCCTCACATAAAATTACATATTCAATAATAAAAATTAATGTAGATCGATGATTTACCTTACAAGAGTTATTGGTTTCATCCATCACTACGTATATTAAATTCACATCTCACATAATTATCGTTCGATTTGTGCGTTAACATCTACGCCACGTCACACGCAAAAGTGATTGTAAACAGCTATTTTATCAATAAGCCACTGATGAGGAAATAAAAAGAACAAAAGTGGATAAAGTGGACGAATATTTACTTAAATTCTAAGAAAAACCATCGGTACTACCTATGGCCTACGGGCATCTTTGGCACTTTATATTAAAGAAAAGTTGAAAGAATTGAAATAACAGAAATACGGAAATCTAGAATTTCACAAGAATATGTTTTAAAATTGAAATCTAAGTACACGAATTAGAATTTGTAACAAAACTACAAAATCGTATACTACTACTGAGTATTGACTGGTCAGAAACTGCCGAGTCAACTGTCAATTTTCTGCACTTGTTTTCGGTAGATAATGCAAACATCTACGTGATATTATCAATACTCTTAACTGGACGTGCGGTCAGCGCAGTATTTTTGTTTAAAATTAAACGTACGTAAATTTAAGTGACAAAAGATTTTAATACATATTTATACCAATAAAACCTATAAAAAAAACTATTTTTATTTCTATGTTTTACAATGTAGTAAGTTTTGTACGGTGAATTTACCGCCTGATATGATTTACTGGCAACAGAAGGCACTATAATAATATACAAAAATTAAATCTCAACAACTAACATTGTTAAATAAAGTTTCATACAATGCATCATAATTCATCATAATTCTTCTTTATAAATAATTATAATAAATAACGCTAAAATACTACATTTCCAGTATGTCCAATTGTACAATAATGTATTATAATCGAAATGTAATTATACTAATTAGCAGATACTTTTTGTAAAGATGCGCAACATTTTTATCCGAATATTCACAGTATTTCACAACATGCCTGAAATAACCTGGGGAAAAAAGTAATTGACAGCATTTTGTCGTGAACCAGGCGTGTTCACCAATTCTGTGTACACTTTAAGCGTCGGCGCACGTCTGCTTCTGACGTCGAGTCTATTTCGGGCACTCGAACTTCATACTCAATCTGATCTAATAGCAGAAATCCTTTGTCTTATTTAAAGTATTTTGGTCATATTCGGTCATCAGTCTTTATAAAAGTGATCCAAAATGGGAAATATCATCAGTGGTTCTTCGTCCAACACCGCCACCTCTTACAAATGTGATATTGGGGATAGAACAATGGAAAGTAAAAGTGCTTTAAGTGAAAGTAACAAAGATTTTTTAGAAGAACAATTCCATGATACTGTAAGTGAAGATGAGGAACGAGCAAAAGTTAAAGAAGAAGAAATGAATGAATTTAAGAAAGAACTAAGTCTGAAGCGAGAGCAAAGACGCGAAATATTAGCTAAACATAAATCTGATAAGTTAAGGTTAGAAAACGCACTGGAAGAAGAAAGAAAGTCAAAATTGGAGCTTTATGAACAAAATAGACATCTCAGAGATATCCTACTTAGGAATGATATTGAGATACCAGAGAATCTACCAAATTATAAAGAATATTCAATGTTTAAAGACACACTCGATCAATTGACGCAGGACATGGAAAACCAAAGAGCTAATAACGTTAAACTCAGATGTGATCTAGCCAGTTCCCACAGTGCGTTACAAGCAGCGTTTTCCGAAATGGCGGATTTAAGTGCTCAGAATACAGAATCTTTAAAGCAAATAAAAGCCTTGAAAGAAGTGGTTGCTGTAAGCAAAACATTAATTTCATTACGTGAAGATCAACTCACTGAGGTAAGATTACTAGTCTAAGTAATTAGGTCAAGTTCCTAGGATTATAATTACTTACTATAATCACCTGGCTTAGTCACGCGTCGTAAATCCTGTATTCGATTCGAATCATACTGTCGGGTTGCTTGACATATCAGACTGATTTAATTCCTAAGATCAATAAAACTATAATACTATAAAATGCATCTTCATCTATTACGGCGTTCGAGACTTCAAACATTCAATTTCTCTTTGATTGTAATTGAGGTTTGGTGATCTAACAACTTGTATATCAATAACTAAACGCCTTGCAAAATATTGATAGCAATTGCAGTTTTATTGGTAATACTTGTTTCGTTACATTAAGTCTATTGTAAATTCAGTTCATACATTATGCCTATGTTGTATGTGCTATGAGGATCCAACATATTCCGGTCAAAGACTTGGTCGGCGTAATGCGTTTTACGAGCAAGCAATTTGGCTCAGAAACTTGAATTACAGCCAATATAGACTTCTGCGAACTTATAAACATCTTCCTTACACGGAATAAATGACTAGGGTGACGTGTAATAATTAACTATTTTTGAATTTAAATACGCAAAAACAAACTGTAAACAATATACAGAAAACAAATATGATGTGACAGTAGCTGTACCCTTCGTTCCTCGCGCGTTGATTATACCGTAGCGAGATTGTACACAGCGTATAACATTCCTCAATAAATGGTATATCACCTTTTTTGTCAATATATTATGACGTTTAAACAATCTATACTTTTTGTTAATCTTACAAAAACATAAAAAATAATTATCCAATGCAGTTATTCGTATACAATCAGGCTTTTCAGTTTTATTTATAAAGATAGGCGAAAAAGTATTTAATGGTACTGTGGGTGTAAAATTATCTCATAAAACATTCGTTTTACGCCTAACCTAATGTTGTCATATTCAATAATTTTTCAATATCTACAGATACATAATGTAGAAGCGAATTAGTTACAAAATTGTTTGTTTAAACGTAATCTTTATAAATTATCGTATTATCACTAGCGGACCCGGCGAACTTCGTTCCGCCTAACAGTCTAATAATATCGTGTTAACTTTAGTTAAACTTAATTTAGGATTTCATTGATACAACTTTTTGCAAATACATAAATTTTTATTGCTTGCCTAAGCCTCTTCTCTCTAGCGCCAATATTACGATACTGCATGTTAAAGAACTTTCTGATAAACAACATTTTTTGTTTTGTTCGGCGCAACAACAAAGTGGTAGGTTTCTTTTATATGCGTAATTTTGTCAACAGATGGCTCCACATGCTATTTGCATTCGTAAAATTAATTAATTAATTTATTGTTTTTCGATATTTTATTACTTATTCTGCTATTCGCAGCAGAGAAGAATCCACTAAAAAAGATATAACTAACAACGGTCCATAAGTGGTGTAACTAACACGACTTTGTTTTATATACATATTAGAATTAGATTAGATAATAACAGTTTTACAATAAGCACTTAGAGTACAACACTAATTATGTTCCAGTTAAAAAATAAATTGACTGAAATCGAGCAGTCTCTCGCTGATAGAGAAGCAAGCATGCTATCTACAGATCTACGACAAGAGTACGAACGTCAGCTGCAAAATATTAGAACTTTGCGAGGGCTTTATGAGGAGCGTGCGCGATTAGCAGAAGTAACAAGACAGGCGCTTGTAAGGGAATTGGACGACCAAAAATCGCTATATCAAGCAGAAAACACAAGGTAAAACCAACTCTGTTTTTTACATATACAAGAGCCGAGACAGCGCTTAGTGTAACTCATGTGAGGTCTACCAGTTGCAATTCTTATAAAACGTAGACCTTAGTTTTATCGGATAAGTATTTTTAATGAGCTGGAAAATGGAATTACTAAAATGTATAAAATCGTCATAAATAATAATCATTCATAAAAAATCATCAACTTCAAGATGTCTGAAGATGTATTTCCAACACACAAGTATAGAGTATTTACAATTTTATTAACGTACATAGTAAAAATAATAATAATTATTATAAAAAATTTATAAATAGAAATGTAAAAAAATTAAAAAGTTTGGTCCCTGTGGCAGTGTATTTTTAATGCTGGCAGCATTAACTCGTATTGCTTATTCGTTGAGCGAGGAAGGCAACAGATTAAAGATGGAAGAGGAGGGTCATCGGTTACTAACTACCAGGCGCCAACTTAAATCTCTTCTTTAAGTCTCAGTCTCTACTACAATGGGAACAAAATACTCTTACATTTGAGCCGTTGTTTATTTTCCGCCTGCTTTGCGGCCGCGCCAGCTTTTGTGCTTGCCGCCGTAGATGTTTATTCTTGAGAAAATGAATTATGTAGCTGATGGATGATACTTATTTAGAAAATTCTTTGTTTTGTTGTAAATTTAATATCATAATTTAAATTATTATTATTTTAGATGTACTCAACTTAATTCTGAAGTGGAAGAATTGAAAGAGAAAGTGTCTAAACTGGAAGAAGAAATCGACGTTAAGAATTACGAAATCTCTGCTTGTAAAGAGGAATTAGAAGTAACGAAGTCAGAAATGTTGGTTGTTAACAAGGTTTGTATATTTTACGCTAGTTTTGCATAAGTTAGTAAAGCAGTTTTTTAGTTTATTTTGAAGGTTTTACAGAAATGACTTGTCTAGTTGTATTCATTATTATTTTATTGTATAAAAAACAGATAATGTAAAAGTTATATGTCAAATTGGAATGAATACTGGCCTCCTTGGTCTTCCCTAAGCATGGTTTATAGACTATCGTTTCATTAAAAAACTTTCACCCTTTTTAAAAACGGAACTCATGACAAACAATCAAGACAATTAGGTTTCATTCTAATCGAATATAGCATGCATTTTTACCATTGAGAAATCGCTAGAATCGTAAACGCTCTCAATAATGTTTCCTTTTCAGCTATTCTCGCAAGTAATCCTAGGTTATAAGTCTAAAAAAGACCTAGATCAACTAGTGACGAGATTGGAAGAGAATCACGGTATTTTAATCCACATGGCAGAACAAGAGAAAGGGTCTGACATCTCTTCGGCATTACCGAAATTACTTCTAGAGTTGGTTAATCAAGTTGATGATATTAACGAGTCTGAAACCAAACAACTGATATCAGAAGTTAACGAGAAAGGTACACGTTTTGTATTTCCAATTATCCTTTATGTTATTTGTTTAATACTTGGATGTAAATACATTACGTTTTATCTATGGATCATAGATATTCTTTTATCGACAGACGTTGAATTATCCGCCATGTTTAATTTATGTTACTGATTTGGTTATTTCAATATATTAGAATCGGCTTTAAAGGCTGTGTTCAAAATCTGAGTTGGATAAGAATGTGTTCTTTACCACGCGTAGCAACATTGATAAAGCGTTTACAAAAGAAAATCCTTTTAATTACAAATATAGACGTAGTAAGTTAAATGTTATATTTTAGGCGAAGAAGTTCAAGAACCCAATAAAGCCGAGGAAATTGTCCAAAATCTTCCAAAAGTTTGGAAAGTTCTAATAGAGCTTTTAAGCCACCAAACGAAATCAACAACGAACGAAGCCGAGAAAGTTACTACATGCTACAAGTCTGTGGAAACTAAATCTGGGCCAGTCCTTGTACCCAGTGTTAGTCAGACGTATATTAGATTAAAGGCAAGTACATATATTACACAGTACTATTTAAAACTTAGTTAAAACTAGCATATTGCCTCAAAAATATTATAATATTTTTTCGCGAAAAATATATTTCATGTCCACAAAGCATGGTTAGTCAGTTGAACTATCAAATCAAATCTGACTCAACCTAAAAAAAACCTATTATCATGTTGTCACTAAACGAAAATAAAAGTAATTTATAATTAATATGCATAAATTACCCTTCCAGATGAGTCATTTAAAATGTTTATCGAAATCGTATGAATCAACATAATAAAACAACCTTGCTTAAAACAAAATAATGACTAAGATGCATGTTTATAAAAATAGGTGTAACTGTTAAGATTCCTGGATGTCTGCCAAACGCTTTCACTGATCACAAAAAAAGATAAACTTGAAAATTTCCACGTGTCTCACTCAATAATAAAATAGTAATTGAATAATTATTATATTTACAGGACTTGATCATCGAAAAACTTAGTCTTATAAAAGAGGTCAATCGTATGAAGCAACTCAACACTCATTTGGAAACGAGGTTGCAAGAACAAGAAAAACGTCTATGTCTTGTTACAACTGAACTTAGTAAGACATGGCACGTAGTAGGCCGATTGCGCAAGCATCATCATCAACTTCACACTCATGAGAAAATACTCAAATACGAATTGCAGCAAAAACGTAAACTGTTGAATGAATTAAAAGAAGAACTTGAATACTGCAGAGAAAAGTGGGAGCAAGCAAGAGAAAAGAATACTCAAACAGAACAAGACTGGAAAAAACTCAGAGCAGAGTTTTCTAGTAGAAAGTTAAAAGACTCGACCACTTTCAGTCATTCTGCTGAAAGTGGCTACAGTGATGAGAGACCGTCAGAGGAATCATCAGAATCAAATGATGAAAGTGAATATATTCCCGATTCAAAGCTAAAAAGCAGAAAAAATAAAAAGTCGTTTGAAGCAGCAGTAGATTCAAGTGCAGATCTAAATTTAGCTGAAAGAGAAGATCCCGTGAGTGATATGATTGATGTCGCTGATCTTTCTTTGGATACACAAGATGAGAGTCATGAAATTTATGATGATTCCTGTAATAGTGAGGTGTTAAAAAGCGATAGGATTTGCGACGAAACGGAAGACGAAGCGATTGACATTTGTAATGATTCCTCTCATGAAGAGTTTTCCACGGCGGAATCTAGTTCAGATTTATTAAATACTGATGGAATACTAAAGGATGAAGACAAAACTTCAAGACACTTTGAAGAAGTATTTACATCACAGGGTCAATCGACACAGCCTCAAACATCTGTTGATACAAATCAGGCACATATAGATGAAGTAACTCAACTTGAAGAAGAACCAGAAAATAAATATAAAGATATATTAAAAAGTATAAAGCAGCAGGATCAACGTCTTCACCTAAAAGATAAAAGGTTAGATGAACTAGAAACTAACTGTACAGCAGTCGTAACAAATATAACGAATACCCTAAATGAAGGACAAGCTATTACTGAAAAGTTAGATGCGTTACATGAAAAATATGGTAATAAATCACCTTTGATTGCGCAAGACAATAATGAAGGCACTGAGGCAGGGGCTTCAACAAGTAATCCTGATGTTGATTTGAAAAGCATTTTAGAGGATATTAAAAAGCAAGATGAATATCTAGCAAAAAAAGATGAAAGACTTCTCAATTTAGAAACTGGTTGTTCAGAAGTAGTTGCAAATATACAGACAGTCGTTGATAACAGCGATGAACTTTTAAAACAGATAAATACCGTTCACAAGCATTACAATACGGAGGACAAAGTTGAAGAGCCAAATGAGAATAAAACACTAACAGAAGCTTCAACGTCCAACGATCATGAAGCGAGATTTGCAGCACGAGATCTCCGATTAAAAAGACTAGAGGAACAGACGAAGTCTCTTGTAAATAAAGTCAACGATACGACCACAAAGGGTGTAAAAATACATTATAAATTGGAAGAACTGCACAATATTTACGGATCTGAACATTCGCGTTCCGGTACTCCTTCTGAGGAAACAGGTGAAACACAAAGCAATGGCGATGAAAAGGAAAGCGAAAATAATTAATCTTTTTAAGTGTAAAATGTCAATTTAAATAAAATATTTATTTCTGATTTTTTTTATTAAAACTCGTACATAATTCAGGTACATTCTGGGTCCTTAATATTAAACAGATCACTAAATAAATTTACGTCTTAATATCGGCATTCTGGTATTTATCGTCAAAGTCTTTGCTCTTCTCGAGTGAATTAGTACTGTCTTCGAGAACTGCGATCACAACTTGTTGAACCTTATCCGCAACTTTGCCGGGTGGACTGGAGTAGAGCCTCCAAGCCCAAAGAGACAGCAAGAACATTTCCAACATCATAAGCATGTTTTGAATCACTGTAACAATGAGATTTTATTTAGCAAACATTACATTATTATATTTTTTTAAGTTATACCTACTTCTTTTGGCGAGTTAGGGAAAAATGATGAGAGTAAATTTTTTCTATTGTGAATATCGCTTTTCTACAAACGTAGAATAAAGGTGGGAATTGACCAACGTTACGAGGTGTAATGTAACACGTTACGCAGCGAGCATACGTGCAGTCAGTACGGCGTGTTACGGGGAAACCAGCGAGCAACGAGCCGCTCGTTGCTCGCTTTGAGTGCTCCACCCGGCTGTCGGTTTTTTGGCGAATCCTTTGACTATTACGCGGTTCAGTAATTACGCGTCGCACGTCGCGAGTGATCATGATTATGATTTTCTATAAATTGTGTCTTTTTTAAGTACTTTTGGTCCAATTAAATTCAACAGTTCTTCAAAATCGAGACCTGCGTACAAAGTTTTTATACTGTCCAGTAATCATTTGGTTTTTAATATTGCAATCAATAACAAACCACCTCATACGCCTGTGTTTTTAAATAAGTTTTATGTCCAGTAACATTTTTTCTTCTTCTTAATTTGGATGAAACAATAATTAAATAGAATGAAAGATATCAACATTATCACTATCACATCTCGTGAACACTGGCGGCGAAAGTGGAGCACAGAGTTTTGACGAGCATGTTACGCCGATTTTAGAACACAGCGTAACATGCTCGATGCGTAAAACGCTCGATGCGAATGCTACATTACACCTCGTAACTTTGGTCAGTGTCCACCTTTACATGCTCGATGCGAATGCTACATTACACCTCGTAACTTTGGTCAGTTCCCACCTTAAGGCGAAAGATAAAAATTTTAAAAGATTTTTATCTTTTAATATGATAAGAGGCAAACGATCCTACGGTACACCCAATAAGGGCAATTATCGCAGCCCATGGACACCCATTTTAGTAGGTGCGTTGCCGGCCTTTTAATATTTAATATATATAAATGCATTATTTGACGCCCCTGGTAGCCCGTTCGTTCTGCCACATGTCATGTTAATTATCTACAGAGATTGGAGATTGTATTGAACTTGATTGGCATCAAGACATCATTGAGATCCCACCAAAAATAATTTAAAGGCCCTTTATATACAGAAACAATAAAACAGACGCTAAACCATATCTGCCCTATACTTATGGTATAAAACCTATTAGATGAAAAGTTCGTAGACTTACATAGAAATAATGTTTTTTTTATAGAATTTGATTATTCAAGTCGCCTTCGAGAGGGATAGAACGATTATAGCGGTCGTACCATTTTTATAGTACGATTTGCCTTTAGCCTCAAAATAGGCTTCAGTTTCAGCGATTACATCTTCATCGCAATATCTGTCCAGCGAGCTTTCTCTAGAGGTCTGAGAACAGGAAAAAGTAGCTGGGACCGAATTTGGAGAATACGGTGGATGCAGAAGCAATTGGAAGCCCAATTCATGGAATTTTGTCATCGTTAAAAAACGTTACTATCTATATCTAATTTCACGTTGCTAATGGCGTAAAGCCGGTTGCAGACCGAAAACTAAGCTATGCCAAGCAAGCTAGGCTAAGCTAAGCTAGAAATAAATAGCGTGCACACCAACAGCTAAGCCAAAGCTCAGTCAGTGTTGAGTCAGCACTGGCGAAGGATGTGCGGGGTAGCGGGAGTGGCTTAGCTTAGCTCGTGTAGCTGCGCATCGGCATACACAACTAACTTAGCTTCGCATATTTTAGTTAGCTCCCATAGCTTAGTTCGCATAGTTTGCGGTCTGCACACAAGTATGGAAAACTGCGTCAGCTATGCCAGCTAAGCTAAGCTAACTTAGCTTAGCTCTTGGTCTGCAACCCGTATAAAGGTGGGAACTGACCAAAGTTACGAGGTGTAATGTAACACGTTACACAGCGAGCATTCGAGCAGTCAGTACGTCATGTTACGGGGAAATCAGCGAGCAACGAGCCGCTCGTTGCTCGCTTTGAGTGCTCCACCCAGCTGTCGGTTTTTTGGCGAATCTTTTGACTGTTACGCGGTTCAGTCAGTACGCTTCGTACGTCGCGAGTGATCATGATTATGATTTTCTATAAGTTATGTATTTTCTAAGTACTTTTGGTCCTTAATTGGACCAACAACAGTTCTTGCTGTCGGCCATCTCGCGAACACTGCCGGCGAAAGCGGAGCACAGAGTTTTGACGAGCATATTACGCCGATTTTAGAACACAGCGTAACATGCTCGATGTGTAACAGGCTCGATGCGAACATTACACTACATTACACCTCGTAACTTTGGTCAGTTCCCACCTTTAAGAATATTTTACAGCGGTCGTGTTAGCAGATACGCGTTTATACTCGTTAAACAATTAAATTATCTACGTCTATATGTGTATACTATGATGTGTTTTTTGGTATTCTGTTTTGTTTCAAACTCAAATTCAAAATATTTATATAGGTAAACAAGTACACTTATGAACGTCAAAAAAGAAGTTAAATTAATTGTAAATTTACATTTACTACCAGTTCGCAAGTCAAGGGCGTAGAGCGGGCAAGAAGAACTGGCAAGAAAATTACTGCCTCTTTTTAATCGCTAAGTTTTGATTCATACAAATTGTTTGAACTGGAGCATTTAAGTATTCCTCAAATTTATAAAAAGCTTTATTGATTAATTTACGTTTAACGAGGGCTTTAAATTTATTTAGTGATAATTCTCTAATTCCGCTTGGGAGTTTGTTGTAAAAACGAATGCAATTTCTATATAAGGAGTGGTTTATATTGTGGAGCCTGGTTGGTCGTACACTCAAATTAGTTCTATTTCGCGCATTATACTGGTAAAAGTCACCATTTGTTTTAAAATCCTTTATGTTTTTTGTACATACAACAAGGCTTCAAGAATATACTGACCATGTTTAAATGTGCAGTACACGAGAACAATACATGTGCATTATATATGCTGTACAAATGATACTTACTATGCACGACGACAGTCGGATGCAAGGACATTATACAAGGTAACATAAACAGCTCCGGGACTACTTTAGCAACTCCGCACTGCACTTTCACAATGATGAGCACCAATTGCACCAACAAGAACCTCGCCCTTGGCCTGGCGCCGGTCGCCGCAGCCGCCCTCATGCTCATCATCATTCCCCAAATCCCAGAGAGGATTGACGCTGCGATAAATGGCTGGATAAACACGAAACTGTTGACGTATAATTCCTGAAACAAAAAGATAAATTAATGAAGAATAAACTTAATGGCTGTATATGGTCTCGGATATGGCGATCTGCTTTCTTAGAGTATAATTTATTTATTCATAAAAATACATACAACGTCATAACTGTACTAAGCCAATGCGATAATGACGAAAAAACATATAATATTACATACACAATATCAAAATTATAATTAAAAATTGATAACTAGAAATTTAATAAGTTTGGTCCCTGTGACAGTATCTTTAACGCTAGTAGCATTTCCTCGCTGTATTGCGATACTTATTCGTTCAGCGAGGGAGGCACCAGCTCTGGTTAATTTTTGATTAATATTACTTAGTAGGTTATGAAAATTGTAAATATTATATATTTGTGTGTCGGAAAGATACACAATATCGCTACTGTGAACTCACTCTGCGAACGTATAAAGATGTCGATAGTGTTGTAAACTACGAATAAAATGATTTAACGAATACAATCGAGATATTTTACTTTGTTAACACAACTCGTTTCTCTGCTAGACGCTGATTTATCCGTAAAATGTACGTCAACCTCTCTCTCTCTCTGTCTCTCTCTCTCTATCTGTTTGTTATTATTTGTTTTTTTCATAAAGGCCCTTTATCACGATGTTTTCCATCACCGTACGAGTGAGTATAAAATGCGCATGTAAACAGAAAATCCGTAACACTTGTCACGATAGTATAATTCAAACACTAAATTAATCTTTACAGTGCTAGTTCAAACTAAAGATAAATTTTAAATAAGAAGAATTTACTTCGCTGTAATATAACAAATTTGTGTCTTCCATAGCGACAGCAAGATTTCCGATGAATTTGCGATTCTCTGAGCCCTTCCGTGCAACATCTAACTAAACGATCACTCGACTATTTCTTTTATGTGCCATTAATTTATATTATTATACAGTGATGGTCAGCTTTTAAACCCCAAAAATATGGAGCATAACCAAGAAGAATGAAATTCAAATTCAGAATAATTTATAACTTATTAGTCTAATCAATTTAACCTTAAGGTTAAGTTACGTAAAGCAAACTTGAAAATATTAATTAATTGTTGAAAGACTTATTTTTAAACGGTAAAATCGGTTTACTTTTATATATATTTTCGCAGAAAAATTAATCAATGATAGCAGGTAAGAATTTAAAATGTCGTATATTCCGGTGTGGTCTTTGTTGAACAAAGGGAACGTTTTAAGTATAATTGTTTCATAATCAAAGTCCAGTTTCGTCAAATAAACTCTGATACTGGCTCGAAAGCAGGTTTTTCTGAGAAAGGCCGGCAATGTGTTTAGCCACTATAAGCTATTACATTTTCAAGGAAGTCGTCAAAGGAATCTAGTAATAATAATAAAAAATTAATCTTCTTAATCCTAATTGAAAAATAACTACGAAATTATGGTTGATTGTCTTTTAAGAGATTAGAGGGTTTTAAAAAGACAAAATCGGGAACATCGGCGA